AAAATATATATATATTTTTTTTATTGATTTCAGAAAGGGAGAGGGAGAGAGAGAGAGAAACCTCAATGATGAGAATGAATCATGGGTTGGCTGCCTCCTTCATGCCCCCTATTGGGGATTGAGCCCACAATCCGGGCATGTGCCCTTGACCAGAATTGTACCTGGGACCCTTCTGTCCCTAGGCCAGACTCTGTCTACTGAGCCAAACCGGCTAGGGCTCATTCCTGACCTTTGACACTTCAGAATGTTGGCCACTCCCACCTTGAAACTGCCCCGCTAAACTTCTGTGACCACTCCTCCTGGTTCTCAGCCTGCTTCCCTGCCGTTCCCTTAATGTCTTACTTGGACGCTTCATCTTCTGCTCTTCCACTCTGAGCTGGACCTCAGGATTTTGTATTCTTTGCCCTTCGTGTCTTCTCATTCCCTGAACTCTAAGCGAGTTCATCCACACCCATACTCTGAAGGGATACCCTCCCTCTTAAAATATACAAACCTGTATCTCCCTGTCAGTGCCATTCTTCTGAATCTTAGATTTATATGTTTAACTCCCGATGGACATTTCTACCAGAACAGCCAGAACTAACCTTGAACACTTTTTTAAACGACCTCACCACCACCACCACAAAACGATACCATCATCTCCGCAGCTCCATTGCCATGATTTTAAACTAATCTTTCTCCGGTTTCTTTCATTTTTATCTCTTAAGTATTATTTTAATTAACCTGCTCTTCTCCATACTCACTGTCAGGTTCTGTCCCTGCTCAGCTAGACTCCTGAGTAGCCTCCTAATAAGTCATGTGAATTTCGAACTTCTTCAAACACAGGGACTCTCTTACTTAAAAACTCTTCAACAGATACTTTTTACCTTTTAGACAGGCTGTAAACTCATTTACCCAGCACATCCAGCCTCTCACAACCTGGCCCATACCTACCTCCCCAGCTTCATCCCCTGTAATTCTGCCGTCACGCCATTCCATCCACCCATACTAGGCGTTTGCCATTCTCCAAACATGCCGTGCTCCTAACTTGCTGTGCCCACAGTCCAGAATCCTCTCCACTCCTTGCCACTGAGCTAATTCCTACTCAAATGTCAAATCTTGGCCCACACAACTATCATGCTCATCAGGTTTGCTCACTTGTTTGTCTCTCCCACCAGACTCCTTGAGGACAGAGACTGTCTTTCATTTACCTTCAATGTCTAATAGCACTTAGAAGTTATCAGTGTCTTTTGAATTAAGTTCCCAAACTGACATTTCTGCCTTTTTACCATCCCACCTGTTCTGCTCTCCTTTCTCCTTCCCCCAAACATCCTTCCTCTCTCCTGCCTGCAGCTGCCCCCGGGTTTACCCGTCCTCCACTCTGTGCGGAGGAAGCTGCTTTACGCCGGGCCCTGGAGCACGCGGACGGTGACCACAGTTCTCTGATCCAGGTGTATGAAGCCTTTCTACAGAGTGAGTGGCCCACTGCACGGTCTTACAGATCCCCAGGTTTTCCATAAACGGCGTGCAGCCAGCTGCCAGATCTCTGTGCCCAGGAAGAGGAGGCCCTTTGGCCAGGGGTTTGGTTCTTTCGGGGTCTTAAGGCTTTAGTGTAGCAGGTCCCTTTCCTCCCCTAGGTGGAGCAGACAAGGCTTGGTGCCAGGCTCGGGGTCTAAACTGGGCAGCACTGTGTCAAGCCCAGAAACTTCGAGGAGAACTCCTAGAACTTATGCAACGAATTGAACTTCCCTTGTCCCAGCCAGCCTTTGGCTCTGAGAAGAATCGCAGAGACCTTCAGAAAGCACTGGTGTCTGGATACTTCCTTAAGGTTAGGGGAAAGAGTTGGGCTCCTAAAAGGATTGGAAGTCAGAGAGACCGAAGATTGGTATGCCATCTCTGAAAACGGGTCCAGATGGCCATTCAGAAGACTCTATAGAACCAGCACTAACTTCCGTTGGGGTACAAGGAGCTTGTGGTGTGGAGGAACTATAACATCTAGAGGAAATGTTTTACTTTTAATACTGTCACCACCCTTACTAATTCCTTCTCATCTCCCCTTACCTTTTTCCACTGTCTGCCTCTTCTCTGTAACTTATTCCTTCAATATCTCTGCCTTTCAATGAGGTGGCCCGAGACACAGATGGGAGTGGAAATTACCTGCTCCTAACCCACAAGCACGTGGCCCAGCTCTCCCCATTCTGCTGCTACCGAAGCCGCCGGGCTCCCGCCAGGCCCCCACCGTGGGTGCTTTACCACAGTTTCTCCGTTTCCAAAGACAACTGCCTTTCCATTGTTTCCGAGATTCAACCACAGATGTGAGTTCCATGACACCCCTCCTACACTGCCCATTCCTCTTCCTGGGGCCAGAAATATGGCTGAGGAATTAGAGAGTCTTAAGAAGAAGAGGGAATCATAGTGGTCTGTAGTAACATGATTTGAGAAGACAGGGTTTGTGGAAGGGATAGTACGAAGTTTAAAAATATGCTTTATGAGAGAGTATATGGAAATCATCTAATTATGACTCTCTGTGTCAGGCTGGTGGAGTTGGCTCCTCCATACTTCCTGAGTAACCTGCCGCCCAGTGAAAGCAGAGACTTCCTAAACCAGCTGAGAGAAGAAATGGCAGATTCTTCAACAGAGAGTGAATCTTCCTCCACCCAAGAGTTTAGAGATGCCTGTGTCCTGCAGTGACCTGCCTGAGGAATGGAGCAGAACTCATCTCATTGTATTGCGTCCTTCCTCACTCTGGCACCATGGCAGCCAGCCAGATTTAAAGGCGAAAGTTGCCCCGGGGGTGTGGCTCAGAGGTTGGGTATAGACCTATGAACCAGGAGGTCTAAGTTCGATTTCCAGTCAGAGTATGTGCCCGATTTCCAGGCACGGTATGTGCCCGGGGTGCAGACTTGGTCCCCAAGAGGGGACATGCAGGAGGGAACCAATCAGTGATTCTCATCATTGACATTCCCTCTCCCTTCCTCTCTGAAATCAATAAAATAAAAAAAATTAAAAATAAAATAAATTAATAAAATTTTTTTAAAAAGCCGAGCCCTGGCTGGTTTTGCTCAGTGGATAGTGCGTCAGCCTGCAAACTGAAAGGTCTTATGTTCAATTTCTGTCAAGGGCATATGCCTGGGTTATGGGCTTGGTCCTCAGTAGGGGGTGTGCAGGAGGCAGACAGTCCATGTTTCTCTATCATCGTTGATGTTTCTGTCTCTCCCTCTCCCTTCCTCTCTGAAATCAATTTAAAAAAAATATCTTTTTTTTTAAGCCAAAAGTTTAGGATCCAATATAAATCTTGGAATCTTGAGTCTCAAGAATTGGTAGGCTGGGTCCCTGGCCACATAGCTCAAGCAGTTAGAGTGGTTAGAGTATCATCCTGATATGCCAAGTTTGTGGTTTGATCCCTGGTCAGGGCACATACAAGAATCAACCAATGAATGCACGCACAAATAAGTGGAACAACAAATTGGTCTCTCTCTCTGTCTGTCTTAAATCAGTAATACATTTTCTAATAAAACATTTTTAAAGAAGTGTTGGGCTGGAGATAAAAGGAATCAGGTAAGCCACAAACTACATAGGGTAGGACCCTTTCCTTAGCCTTTTTCTATTTATTGGAGAGGGACTGATATGCCCCCATATCCTCAACTTAAGCCAAACCTATTCTTGTGCTTCCTTTTGAGCTACAAAAGTCCTTTTTTCTATAGTGCCAAATTTAAGCTTGGTTCTGCAGCAGCATATATAACATGAGGCACCCTGGCTAGTATGGCTAAGCCTTTGAGCATCGAGCCAGGAACGAAAAGGTTGTTGGTTCAATTCCCAATCAGGGTACTTGACCAGGTTGCAGGCTTGATCCTCCCCCAGTAGGGACCATGAAAAAGGCAGTTGATGTTCTTCTGTCAATGATGTTCTTCTGTCATTTATGTTTCTATCCCTCTCCCTTCCTCTCTCTCTAAAAATCCATAAAAACAAAGAGTTAATATCAAAGAATCAGGGCCAACTCCTCAAGCAATTTGCCAGGTTCCCACTTCTGGTCAAGACTGTGTGCTATGGCTGACCTGGCTGTCACTAATGCAGAACATGAGTAGTGTGACTACAGTTGGCCTCACCCTGCCTAAAACTTAGTTCCCTCTATTATCCTGCTCCTACCTCCAGGAAAGAATTGGAGTGCCATAGGAATCAAAGAAAATATTCCCTTTTGGCCTCATACAACTTAAATCCTCTCTCTCTCTCTCTCTATCTCTATCTCTCTCTCTCTCTCTTTCTCTCTATTTTATTTATTTAATTTTTTTATTCTGCTCCTTAAACCTCAAAGCTGTTGCAACTTTACATCTAAAAGCTTCCCAGCAGCCCCTGGCCCGCCTACAAGCTAAAGTCTTTAACAACTTCAGGGACATCATGCTTTCCTTTCTTTCCAGCTGGGTACTCCTTTCCCTTTCCCTCGGACTGCTAACTTTGAAGACCTCCATTACCTTGCACATTGTAAAAGTGTTTGTAGAATTCGGAGGGGAAAAAGAATCCTCAGAACTCTGCCTTCTCTTAATAGTGTCCGCTTTTGGAGTTTCTGTCATCACTCTGTCTCTACGTCTATGTGGATGTCAGCTGACTTCCCCCAAAGGCACTTTGCCAGAATTTATTCTTTCTAAGTCTAGCATTTAGTTTTTCCTGTAGAGTTCATCTTGGTCCTGTCTTCCCAATTTCTCCTTCATCGTCCACACCATTGATATCCTGATCCTCTACATTTCCAACCTTGGAGTTACCTGTGATTCTTCTTAGATCTAGCACTTCCTAATTTTTTTATTTTTATTTATTTTTTTGCCAACTTCTGCTCATCCCAACTCCATTGGGTCCATTAACTTTGTCCCCTTCTTCCTCCTCTATCCTCTCTATCCCAACGGGATTAGTGTTCCTAGATTTTCTCTTTCATCAAGTGGAAGATGAAAGAACTTATCTGTCTCCCCTGACACTCAAGCGTCGTGTGGGGGAATGCAGTCAGCAGTTTGAACGCACACGGACAACATGAGGCTCCACAAGAAGAATCCTTAGCGATTATTTTACAGTAGAAAGATGCGATGCCCAACATGGATAACTCTCTGGTTCCTGTCACAGTCAGACTCCTTCTCCAGCATCTCTTCCATTACAACGCTGTCCTTGGCATCATCCTTCCATCACACCTTTGGTACCCACCCAGCCAGTGCGGGCTGCCCCCATCGTAGCATCACCATTTACCTGCTCTGGCTCCGCAGAACCGCCAGTCCGACCCACCTGCAGAAGACCCCGGGGGGGTCTCTCGGGGAGTCAATTCCAATTGGACAGCCCGCCCCACTCTCCGCACCTCATTGGCTACTGTACTGAAGGTCCCGCCCAGTCCCTCAGGTTCCAGCAGCCGTGGGACCATCCAAGCAGCAGAAAACGGCGGGAAAGGCCGAGTCTCTGCTTGCGGGGCAAGCATGCCACGTTGGCCTGGGAGCCGGCAGTGGCCTAGGAGCCCTCAAGGAGAGCTCCAGGCCGGCTCCTCCTCGCGCGCTGCAAGGCGGGGGCAGCCGCACGACCCTCAGCCCTGGGCCCCACGCTCCACGCGGCGCTTCGGTCCGAAAAAGCTTTGGGCCAGCCAGCCAGGCAGGCGTCGTAGCTCACACCACCGAGGCGAGCCCGGACACGGAAGCCACCTTGTTGTCCTCGGCCCAGGGCTGCAAGTTCTGCAGCGCGAAGAGCGACGAATTGTGCAGGCAGAGCGGGTCCGGGGGCAGCGGCGGCCGCAGCGGCCGTGGCAGCGCGTCCTGCTGCAGGTGCAGGAGCAGCCGGCCCGCGCGGTGCCGCTCAGCCTCGCGCTCCTCCGCCGTCTGGCGCCTGGACGGGCGGGAGGAGATGCAGATGCGGGGTCAGTGAGGCCGGCCCTCGCCCAGCCCGAGCCTCACCGCCAGCGGGTCCGGCCCGCGGCCCCTCCCCGCCCCGCGCCTCACCGCCACTTGGTGCGCCGGTTCTGGAACCACGTCTTGACCTGAGCGTCCGTCATGCGCAGCGCCTTGGCCAGCGCCGCCCTCTCCGCCGACGCCAGGTACTTCTGGCGCAGGAAGCGCCGCTCCAGCTCCAGCACCTGCGAGCGCGAGAAGGACGTGCGCGGCTTCTTCCGCTTTGGCGGGGTCCGGTTCTGGTAAGGATGGCCGATGCGGCGCGTCCCGGAGAAGGGGGAGAGCGCGGCTGCGGGGAGGAAGGGGTAAAGAGCGGGGCAGGGCTTGCGGGGCGGCCCAGGGGGTCCCCGAGACGCAGGCCCAGGAGGTCCCTAAGACGCAGGCCCAGCCCCCCCCCCCCCGGAGACGCAGGCCCAGGAGGTCCCTAAGACGCAGGCCCAGGCCCCCCCCCCCCGGAGACGCAGGCCCAGGGGTCCCCGAGACGCAGGCCCAAGGGGTCCCCGAGACGCAGGCCCAGGAGGTCCCTAAGAGGCAGGCCCATGGGGTCCCTAAGACGCAGGCCCAGGGGGTCCCTGAGAAGAGAGCGCGGCTGTCGGGTCTGCAGAGCTCCACGCGTGCGGTCCTTACTGGAGCCCCCAGTTCGCCCCCACACCCCTGGAGGCCTCTGGACAGGAAAGGACTCGGAAGGAACGGGCCTGGGCGAGGGAGAACGGTCCCCATGACTTCACCCTGCTCTCCCCGCGCTCCGGCGTGGGCAGGGGCCTTCAGAGATGGGCGGGGGCATCGACGGTAGCTCACCTCCCACGCCCTCTCCGCATTGGAACCAAGACACCTACGTGGGGAGGGGGTCCCCTGACACGATCGGAGGGAGGAGTGTGAAAGGCCACCTGGACATGGAGCCTAAGGACCAACGATGAGCAAACCCAGTCACCGTGGGACAAAACGGTGGGAGGAGTTGGGCATCCTCACCCGTCAGCCGGTCCTTGGCAAAGCGGCGGCCGCTGTCCATCCAGGGGAAGGTGAGTCCCGCGAGGCCCCCGGTGCCAGCCAAGCCCGAGGGGCCGGGCACCGGCACGACAGGCGCGCTCCCCGCGGGCGGCGGCGGCGGCGGCACGGGCAGCGGGCGGTGCGCGGGGACTCGGATCACGCCGCCGCCTGGGCCCAGGCCGGAGCCGCCGGGGAGCGGGCCCAGCGAGCCGGAGGGGCCGTAGCTCGAGGCTCCGGGAAAGGCACCTGAGAACGCCGCGCCGTCCCCGTGGCCCTGGCCCCCCGCGCGCCCCGGGCCCAGGCCGCTCCCGGTGGACTCCGGGCAGCTCAGGATCTGGTCGATGCCGAAGCTGATGGGCTCGTGGTGCGGGAGGCTGTGCGAGGCCAGCACCGCCGGCTCCATGGGGGTCCGGGCTGGGGGGGACCGCAGGAGGTCCGGCGTTTTGGAGGGCGCCCCAGGCAGCTCGGGGAGCCCAGCAGCGGCGGAGCGCTCGGGGCGGCGGCCTCAGGGGCCCGCGGAGCCGGCCGCGCCTGGGCGCCGGGGCCCCCGGCACAGCTTCATCCCAGCGCACGGGCAGTAGCCGCGCCCATGCCGGCCTCTGCGGGGCGTCGGTGCGGGACCTCGCATCCCGGGGTCCCAGGAGCGCCCTTCCGTCTCAGGCGCAGATGGGCGCCGGGCTGCCGGGCTTCTGCCCGGGTCCGGGGCGGAGAGGGTGGCGGGCGCGGGCCGGGCAGAGACTGACAGCTCTGCCTCCGGGGGGCAGCGAGGGCTGGGGGTAGGGCAGGGGCGGGGCCCGGCCCGTTAAAGGGGAAGAGGCGCCGCTGTGCGCCCAGCGTGGGGAGACCGGTCGATGGGGATGGGGGGCGGGGTGGGGAGGCGGCCGGGGGTGAGGAGCCCGGCTCCGGCCGGGAGGGGCGGGCGCGGGGCGGCTGCGCGCTGAGTCAGCCGGGATGCGCGCGGCTGCCGCCTCCCCGCCGCCTCCGCCTCGGCGCTTCCTCGTGGGTGTCTCTCCCCATACCCCCCACTCTCCGCCTCCCGATGGGGCCTGCCTGCGGACCCCCGGATTCGTTGTGCCCGCCGCCTACGAGCCCTCGAAGACCAAATCTCGTTGTGGCCTCCAGGATGCGATGGGCAGCCGCGGGGGACCGGCGCGGCCGGGAAGGCCCGGGCGGAACAGGTGTGGGCAGCGGCGGCGGGCGCAGCTGGCGGGCCAGGGCGGGGCGCGGCCACTCTAGGCCAGGGTCCTGGGGCACCCCTTGGCCTCTTCCGTGGGACCCCCAGCTCCTTTCGGGAGCGCCTGCCATTGGCGGTGCCCTTGCGTTCCTTAGAATTTCGATTTTTCTGAAATCGGTGCAAAGCGGGCTCGGCTGAATGAGGACTCAGACCGGTGTGAGTTTGGGGTTGCCTGTTCTGCCCCCGACAGAGGACCACCCAAGAGGGGCTCTGCGCCTGGGAAGTCGATTCTCACACACTTTCCCCTACCCCCCACTTCACCCCACCCCGGGCGGGAGGACGAAATCTCCACCGGAGACACCAAAGCCTTCCGAGTGGGACCGGCTGCCTCGTTTCCTACAGACGCTCCACCCAGTCCCAGCGCAGGGAGCTGTGCCTGGAGCGTGTCAGGGAAGCGGGGTCTTTGGGGAAAGACCGAAGCGGTTTGGTGACCTCGTGACCTCTGGCTAAGGACCCAGGAGCTGGGAGTGTGTGAACCCCGCGTCCTTCCCCAGGATGGGACCCCCGGCCCGGCGGGCCCCTGCGCCTTAGACCCGCCCCTGCCGCCGCCCGGCCCGGTGCAGGCCGCCATAATCGGGTTAGCTGGGTCGGAATTACATTACCTTCCCCGGCCCGACCCGGCCCCGGGGGGGCCCTGGCGCCTCCAAGCCGGTGAGACTGGGCGCGGGGAGGGGGATGTTCTCAGCATCCCGCGGGCGGGTTGGCACCGAGGAGCAGCTCGGCCCGCCTCGGACACGTGGTGGCCAAAGGGCCCCACCCCATGTGCCAGCCCCAGCTCCTCGACCCCAGCCCACTCCGTGCACAGTCCCAGGCTGCCTGGTACCCCGGGGGAGCCAGCATGCCTTCTCCCTCTGAGTCTAGTGGATGGGTCGCCCTCGGAGCGCGGAATCTTCCCGCTGATTCTTCAGAATCTCCTGGGAAAGGCGCTGACCCTTTTCTCCCCAGCAGATGGGCTGGCAGGCTGGCGCCTGGGGCAGGGTGGTGGGTCTCTTCTCTCCAGGGAATGGAGGGATGATATTTGGGCATCTGGGCAGGAAAATAGAGAGGAGGAAAAGGGAGTGGGCTCCCTCCCCATCAAAGCCACCAGCCCCTGGTTTTCAGAAGCCTCAGTCTAAAGGCTGGGGGAGGAAGACAGTGGGCGTCAATCCGTAACATCCTTCCCCAACCTTGTTCACACGCATCATCCAATTCTTCCAGCCCTTACCGCACCTCTTCTCAAAGGAGGCTGGGGGGGGCGGGGTCTGCAAATTTGGCAGGTGTGTTCTTGTCTTGGTGGAAAAGACAGGCATTATCACCTCCCCCAGCCCTTCACAACGGCCCCAGCTCCCTTTCTCAACCATAGAGGGGTGGGGCTACTAGGACACAGAAAGCCGGTATTCAGGCAAAACCTTCTGAAATAGCATGGGTGGGGCCCCCCAGATGTGAACAGAGAGGCTAAGGAGACAGCAAACTAAAGCCTTTGGCTCTGGCTGGGTAGCTCAGTTGGTTATTCTCATTTCCTCCCTCTCTCCCTCCCTCTCTCCCTTTCTCCCTCATCTTCCTCTCTCCTTCCTTCCCACCTTCTCACCCTCTCTTCCTCTAAAATAAACAAATAAAAAAATTAAAGCCGAAACCGGTTTGGCTCAGTGGATAGAGCACGGCTTGCGTACTGAAGGGTCCCAGGTTCAATTCCGGTCAAGGGCATCTACCTTGGTTGGGGGCACATCCCCTGTGGGGGGGGGGGGTGCAGGAGGTGGCTGATGGGTGTTTCTCTCTCATCGATGTTTCTAGCTCTCTATGCCTCTCCCTTCCTCTCAAAAAAAATCAATAAAATATTTTTTTAAAGTTAAAAATACATAAATAAAGCCTCTGAAGTGACTGACCTGCAGGTCAGGAGTTTTTCAGTCCCTTTCCCACTCTAGGGGGTGGGCCTCTGAGAAGAGTGTGGCACTAGTGTACCTCCAAACGAGCTGAATAAATCCTGGAATGCATCAATGAGTGAATCAGTGAGGAAGAAAAGGTCAGCATAGTATAGACCTGTATACCTGCTTCCTCTGCCTCCTGCCTTTTAAGGTCAGCACAGATGGCTCTGCCACCCAGAGATTGCCTAACTGATCCTTTGAGCAGAATGGCCGCAAACGAGTACTACATACTCATCTTCTACCGAGTTAAAACTTTTTTTTTCAGTGCCCCATTTTAAGAACAAGAACTTTCAGTCTGTCAGCCACAGTCCTAGGAATTCCTCTGCTTGCCTTCACTTTGCTGATTCCTTGATTCTCTGGGTAGGGTGGTTCCTGCTAGTTTATGTTGAAGATGGAGACCCCACCTCCCCTACACACTGCTTTGGGTTCATCTCTCCATATTCTATATGCATGTGGCCCCCAACTCTCCAAGTTTTCAAGCCTGTACCTTCACAAGAAGAGGCCACATACCCAGCCTGAGCTTCTGTGCCTTCCCTTCCTTCCTGCTGTTAGTAGAGTATCCTTCCCTTGAGACGGTCCCCCCACTCCTGTATCATCATTTCTCTCATTAACTTAGTTCTTCCTACCCCGACTGTCTTAGATCACTGTTACCTCAGCAAAGTCTTTGCCCGGCTCTTCAGGAAAGATTGTTTTCTTTTTCCATTTCCTGCCGACACCCACTGCCTCCATTTCCTCATTATTTATTCTTTTAACCCACTGCAAGCTGGCCTCACTATACCAACCTTCTCAGGAAGCGTCAGTATCCAATGTCCATTATCCAGAAATCTCTGACATGTTTTACTTTGTTGATCACCAACTATTTCTTGAAATGTCCCTTTTTTTTTCTTCTTCCTTAAATAATAATATCTTATTCTACATCTTTGGACTTTCATAATGACTGCTTATTTTTTTTTCCTCCACTGACTTTTCTTTTTCTACTATAGACTGTGAGCATTCTTTAGAGTCCAGACTTCAGGTTCCCTCTCTCTCTCTCTCTCTCTCTCTCTCTCTCTCTCTCTCTCTCTCTCTCTCTCTCTCTCTCTCCATCTGCTCAGGTTTCATCCACTTCAATAGCTCCATCTACTACATCCACCCAGAAAACTCTGAGACCTTCTTCCCTGGTCTGACTGTGGTGCTTCAGCCTTCTGGCCAACTCCGCCTGCCCTTGCTGCAGCCACCTTAGTCCACCAAGCTGGGAGGCAGGCTCTCCTCCCAAGCTCCTTACTCCCTCCTATCGTGCTTTCCTTTGAAATACTTCATACACAGCCCTTCCTTCCCATCCCCACTGATAAAAGCCTAATATAGGCCATCATCACTACCACCTACATTCATTCATTGTTCATCCAGGAAAAAAAAATGTTTTTAATTTTCATCGGAGGATAATTTTCAACTGATTCTTAAAGAGTGGAAAAGAGAGGGAAAGTCAGAGAGAAACATTGATTGGTTGCCTCCTACACCAGCCCTAACCAGGACCCAGGCTGGGGAGGAGCCTTGACTGGAATCAAACCCAGGACCCTTTGGTCTACTGGCCAACACTCTATCCACTGAGCAAAACTGGCTAGAGCCATCCAGAAAATTTTGATTGAACATGGCACTCTTAGTCCTCTATACCTGGCAGTGGAGATATAGATGTATAAACACAACGGGAGGGGGGGGGAGAGTCTATGACACTGAGAAGCTTACATTTTAGTGGGGGAGGCAGATGTAAAACAAGAAAAATATACAATACATTAAATAATAATAATTGCTAGAAAGAAGAAATAAAGCAAGGAAGGGGGAGAAGAACTAAAAGGGTAGGGAGCTGTAGTTTACCTAGAATGATTAAAAAAAAAAAAAAAAAGGCTTTGCGGAGTGCCAGGCTGGGTGGCTCAGGGGTTGAGCATCAGCTTATGAACCAGGAGCTCAGGGCACATGCCCAGGATGTATTGGGGATGGGGAGAGGGGCTCTGCTCCCAGTAGGGAACCTGCAGGAGGCAGCTGATTCTCTCTCTCATTGATGTTTCTCTCCTTCTCCCTTCCTCTCTGAAATTAAAAAAAAAAAAAGGCCTTGTGGAGTAAAGACCTGAAGGAAGGTACCATTTGTGCATCTGAACATTTCAAGTTGGTGACACAGTGAGAGTACATTCTGGTGTGTCTGTGGAACAAATGGTGAGGGATCCAGTGTGGCTAGAGAGATTGAGTGACTGAGAGACCATGCAAAGCCTTGAAGACCACTGTAAGGACTTTGCCTTTTATCCGGATTAAAAAGGGAAGCTGACTCCAGCTGGTTTGGCTCAGTGGATAGAGTGTTGGCCTGCGGACTGAAAGGTCCCTGATTGGATTCTAGTCAAGGGCACATGCCCAGTTGAGGGCTCATCCCAAGTAGGGGCGTGCAAGAGGCAGCTGACCAATGATTCTCTCTCATCATTGATGTTTCTATCTCTCTATCTCTCCCTTTCTCTCTGAAATCAATAAAAATGTTTTTTAAAAAGAGGAGCTATTGGAAGATTATAAAAAAGTAAGGCGCCCATTTTTATTTTATTTTTTCCCCAGCAAGTTGGTTTAATTACAGGTGTTGCACAGAGGATCTTGAAGAACACGCTTTGACAGGATTCTGAGCTGGGTTTACTCTGACCACACAACTAAGGTTGAAATGGCAGAATGAGAAGAACTGAAGAGATAAGCTGATGCATGATTATCATCATCATTAATTTTTTTTTTTTTTTTACAAAAGTTTATTCTTACATATGCTACAGCCTCCAAGACAATACTTCATTTTAACTCTAGGTGGCAAGACATGTGACACCAGGGGATCCTGACGTTAGAACAGAAATGGAATTGAGGATCACCATTGCCCCAGGCACAAGGAACAGATCACTATTTGCCAGATTTCTTAATTCCACCCGTGGCCTTCCCCTTGGCCTTCTGCTCCTCCTTCTGCTGTTGCTTGAACGCCTTGTTTTCCTCCTCCGTCTGTCTGTCCCCTCAGCCTGCTTCTTGGGCTGCTTCAGGGACTTCCTTTTGCCACCTTCTCGGCCGGAGATGGTGCCTGCCGCCCCAGGCCCCCAGGCCCCCATTTTTAAATTTTATTTTTAACAACTTTCTTAAGGTAAACCTGACACAATAAACTGCACATATTTAAAGAGTACAATGGTTTTGGCTCAGTGGATAGAGCATTGGCCTGAGGGCTGAAGGGTCCCGGGTTTGATTCCGGTCAAGGGCATGTGCATTGGTTGCGGGCACATCCCCAGTAGGGGGTGTGCAGGAGGCAGCTGATCAATGTTTCTCTCTCATTGATGTTTCTGGCTCTCTATCCCTTGTCCTTCCTCTCTGTAAATATATATATATATATATATATATATATATATATATATATATATATATATGTGTGTGTGTGTGTGTGTGTGTGTGTGTGTGTGTGTAACTTAAAAGGTACAATGTGAAAAAAATAGAGTACAATGTGATAAGTTTTGACATATGCATACACCCATGAAACCACCAACACAAACAAGATAATAAACATATCCATCAACTCCAAATTTTTTCCTTATATTCTTTTTTATTCATATTTTACCAGAATTACTCTGAGCTGCTGTATAGGGAATAGCTTAAGGAGGGACAACGTGGAAACAAGAAAAGCAGGCAAAAACCCGCTACTCATCCAGAGGACAGATGATGGCATCTTGGACCAAAGAGGTAAGCAATGGCTATATAGTAAGTAGGTGATGAAAACATCACCGATCCAAAAACTTCTTGTCGCATGTCCACTTCAGTTCACTTTGAACATAAATGAACAAAAATGTTTCTCTCATAGGGTCATTCCCCTCTTCAAGAGTCAGCTAGCTCTCTGCGGCCCACGGGCTAAAGGTCCCAACTCCCTACAGTCCTGCTTCTTCCACCACTGCCCTCAGGTGCACCCCTGGGCCTCCATCCTGTCCCTCTCCAGCCCCTCCCCTCCGCCCAGCCTTCCTTTTCTGTGTCCGTCTTCCCCACCCCAGCTCTAAATTGTGCCCACAGAGTCCCCCTTCCTTCCGAAAGCCTTTCGAGGTCTCCATGGGGATCCCTGCCTTCTTTCCTCTCTGCCTGCACTTGGTGCTGGGACCTCGCAGTAAACTTGCACTTGGTGTTAGGGCTGCTGTGAGCGCCGGGGACCCCTGCGCCTCCCCGGGCACCGGGCTGAGCTCGTGCAGCCGCGGGGACTCGCCGCCCGCGCGCGCCGGTGTGTGGCCGCGTCCCAGCCGTCCTCCCCCCCCTCCTCCTGCGGCATCTGCTCTGCATTAGTCTGTCCCAGGCCTCCGCAGGCGCCGGTGATTGAATCATCATCATTAGCGAGGGCCTGCCCCCCGCATCCCGGCTGCGGGGGGAGGACAGGGCGGGGGGTGTAAGATCACTACCAAGTCTCTAGGGTCTCCTCCTCCTCGTCGCCCTCCCGAGCCTCCTCCGCAAAGCAAACCCCGAGAAACTCTCGCTCTGGAGCCGGGAAGAGGCCCGCGATCGGGATGTAGCTTCGCATTGTCTAGCGTCGGAGACATAACCGAGGGAGCACGGGAGGGGCTTTAGCGTGGCTGTCACCGGAGCGGAGACGCCCGGCCTTCGGGGGCAGGAGGAAGCGGTCTTCTGCAGGCTCCCAAAGTTCGTCCCGACGTCCCGCAGGGCCGGTTACGGCGATTACCACGGGAGGTCAGAGAGATAGGACCCCTCCCCACCCACACCCCCTACTCCATAATCGCGAACCGAGGAGGGGAGGGGCCACCGGGGCTCAGGTGAGCGCACGGGGGAGAGAGGACTTGGGCGGGGCCTCGCGGACAGTCAGCGAATCCGAAGAGAGCTAAGCCCTCGTTGCTCGGCGACAAGTCCCGCCCCGCAGGCGGCACCGGAAGTGGCAGGCCGGGATCAGCCTTTAAGATGGCGTCTCCTCAGGGGGGCCAGATTGCGATCGCGATGAGGCTTCGGAACCAGCTCCAGTCAGTGTACAAGATGGACCCGCTACGGAACGAGGTGCAGGGGCGGCAGGGTTACCGCTGTGGTCGGCCAGCGGGGCCGACTGGGGCCGACCAGAGGACAGGCCGGGACCGGCCAGGCGCCCAGTGCGCCTGCGCAGAGGCAGGGGGCACAGTGCGCCTGCGCGATCGCGGTCGAGTTGCCAAACTCTCGGCCGAGACGCCTGCGTGTCGTGCCTCCGTCGCCGTCTGGTCTCCCCTGGGGAAGGAAGGTCGGGCCCGTCCACGTGAAGGGAGCCCCCCGCTGTGCGCGGAGACCTCTGCTGGGCGAAGGGGTAGTGTCAGCCCCCGGGGAGCTAAGCCCTTGCTGACTTTGCAAGGTGCGGGGCCCGGCTGTGAGATGTGATGAAAGAGGGAACTCCCAGGCTGGGAAGGCACCAGGGTTGGGACTGGGAAGGGTGATCAGTGACCGAGGGTGTGTCCGCAGGAGGAGGTCCGAGTGAAAATCAAAGACTTGAATGAACACATCGTCTGCTGCCTCTGCGCTGGCTACTTCGTGGATGCCACCACCATCACAGAGTGTCTCCATACTTGTGAGTTCCCTGCACCCTGGCTGGTTCTTCCAGGCCCTAGTCCCCACCCAGCTGGCTGTTAGCCTCTGCACCCCATCTAGCCCTGATTCCCAGAGGGCCGGAGAGTCTGTTTTTCTTTTCCTGCAGTCTGCAAGAGTTGTATTGTGAAGTACCTCCAAACTAGCAAGTACTGCCCCATGTGCAACATCAAGATCCACGAGACACAGCCACTGCTCAACCTCAAACTGGACCGGGTCATGCAGGACATCGTGTACAAGCTGGTGCCTGGCTTGCAAGACAGTGAGTGACCAACCGGGCCCTAAGGGGATTCTAGAGGACTGATGCTGGGTAGCAGCTTGTGGTGACAAGGGCTTCGGTGGGCATCATGTAGGTAGAGAGGTTAACAGCCAGAGGGACAGTTAATACTTTACTCCCATACTCCACTCCCTTCTAGGTGAAGAGAAACGGATTAGAGAATTCTACCAGTCCCGAGGCTTGGACCGAGTTACCCAGCCCGGTGGGGAAGGTATGTCCCTTGGCAGCAGGAGGGTAAGGTAAAGCCCCCAGAGCATTCCTCCTGCCCAGTTTTGCTCTCTGGGGCAAGAGGGGTATGGAATCTGTGCTACTCGCCTCACTACCCTGTCTTGCTCAGAGCCAGCCCTGAGCAACCTCGGCCTGCCCTTCAGCAGCTTTGACCATTCGAAAGCCCACTACTATCGCTACGATGAGCAGCTGAGCCTGTGCCTGGAGCGGCTGAGGTGAGAGTGTCGGTGACCCAGAGCCAGGGAGGGGCTCAGGGAGAGGGCTCGCAGTAAGGGAGTGTCTGTTCCCTTGAAGAGATTGTATCACGGCTTTGGATGGGGTGGGAGAGGAATGATAGTACTCCCTAACCTGTGTCTGTTTCCCCCCAGTTCTGGCAAAGACAAGAATAAAACCGTCTTGCAGGTGAGAGGGGCTATGGGAGGGCCTCTCAGGAGACTCCCCTCCTGGGGCCCCTGCTCTCACACACCTCGCCTTCCTTTCCCTCCCCTCCCTCAGAACAAATACGTCCGATGCTCTGTTAGAGCTGAGGTCCGTCATCTCCGGAGGGTCCTCTGTCATCGCCTGATGCTAAATCCCCAGCATGTGAGTTTCCCACAGCGGGCTTCTCTGGGAGGAGAAGGGGCTGCAAAGGGAGGGAGAGTGTAGAGTAGACCCGGTGAGCTCTTGAGGGTGCGAAAGGAGAGTTCCTAAAACTGTGCTCCTGTCTCCCGGCTAGGTGCAGCTCCTTTTTGACAATGAAGTGCTCCCTGATCACATGACCATGAAGCAGATATGGCTTTCCCGATGGTTCGGCAAGGTGAGCCAGGTCCAAGGCAGTCCCCGGGCACCGGTGGGCTGAGGGGCCCTTTTTCGAGGAACTCTCCCACTGACTACTTCTTCCCCTTGCGCTCCCCTCAGCCCGCCCCTTTGCTTTTACAGTACAGTGTGAAAGAGAAGAGGAGGTAGGGGCCGAGCCCGGCCCCATCCTGCTCCCTGCCCCTCCCCAGATATTTATGTGAAATTAATTGTGGCTTTATTTTTTGAAATAAAAACTTTTAAAAAGCACCTCTCTTCTTCCTTCTTATCCCTACCACACACTCATACTTCGTCCTGTGTCCCTCAGAATTCCTCTGAGTGTCATCAAGAAGGATGCCCCTCAGCAAATGACCAAAGGAGAGGGGTAGAGGACCCTACTTATGTAAAACCCAGAAGGTGAGCTGAGTGAAGTCAGGCCCCCACACCAGCTGGTTTTGGAAGGGAAGTTTTTCTGGAGGGGAACTCTCTCTGTCCTTGAATGTTGTACCGTGTGACAAAGGCCTGAGCAGAGGTGTCCTCATTCAAAACTGGTGAGAGTAGGGCTTGGGTTGGACAGTGGTCCCTGCAGGACTGGACAAGAGTGATATTTTAAAGAAAAATCCAAGGATTTGCATAATCGGAGGAGGCTAAAAAAAGGGGGGGGGCACAGGGGACACTCACAGGGATAGAGTTGGAGACTTGGCTGTCTATACACGCTTCTGCAGGCCTTCAGGTACCTGGGCCAGCTTGTAGAGAGTCATTGAGAGGGACTGAGAGCTGATGCCCAGGAGGGCAAGGAACAAGAGGTAAGCAGCAAAGTATACTCAACGGCGTAAGTCGGCAAGCTTCCTGGTCTGTGCGAGCCTCGCCATGAGCGCTGGGCTCTGAAAATAAACCATGCTAATGTTCCTGTCCTATGGGTCTCTAACTGGGGTAGCCAGAAACTTGCAGTCGATGTGAAAGGGTGGTTCTGAGGAGTGACGAGGGAGGTGTGGGCTAGGGGGAAAGACACCTTAGGGACTTGGGTGGCTCAAGCAGCTGCAGGAATTGGGGAGTGTCTGGTTGGGGCTTGCTTTGGGTCAGGAATGCCCAGCTAGCCTTGGCTGGTGGTTCCGTGGTTAGAGCATACACTGGTGCACCAGAGGGTCGTGGGTTTGATTCCCTGCCAAGAGCATGTTCCTGCGTTGTAGTTTCATTCTTGTTCGGCCTCCCCTGTTGGCGTGGGGGAAGCAACCATCCTTGGGTGTCTCTCACTAGATGTTTCTCCCCCTCCCTCCCTTCCACTCTGAAGAAAAAGAAAAAAAAACGATAGAAAAAAATATCCTCAGGTGAAGATTAACAAAACCAAACAAAAATAAACGAAAAGAATGGCTGCCTAAAAGGAGCCTGCCTGAGGGCCCCCAGTTCTGGAGGCCAAACCCTGGGGTGTGGCCTTTGAGGACGCCTGGCTTGGGGCCACGGAGCAGCCCAGGGGCATTCAGGCGGGATCTGAGTGGAGCAGCTGCCCCGCCTCACCCCAGCTCCGGGAGCCTTATTTCTGTCTGCGGCTGGTGGTGGCGGCTGTTCAGCGGACAACTTCCCCAGGTTGCTGACGCAGGCCAGCTGCAGGCTCCGCATCTCTCTCTCTCCTCTATGGGCTCCTCCCCCTTCCCTGGCCTGCTCCACGCAGCAGACCCTGTGGGGCCGATGGATCACCCCTGGTTCTCTAGGGCTCGGGCACAGCCTGTGTGCACCAGCCTGCACCGGCCCTCTCCCCCAGCCCCCAGTGACCTGCAGCACTTCCAGGTGGATGTGTCGGCCCTCGCCCGCCAGTGCCTCTGCCGCCCTTTCTCACCTGGCTACTTCCACCTGGGACAAGGGACCCTGAGATTTGCCCCAGCCTTTGGCATTTGGCATAGAGGGGGACCCGTCCCTCTCAGCCTGGCCAGTCTCTCCCAAGACTTGGGGTGGGGAGGGGGCGGGGGGAGAGGGAAGGCTGGGAGAGGATATGGGGACGAGGGTCCCAGGGTGTAAGTTTGTGGAGGCGGAGGCCGCTGGGTATTCCGTGCTCCCCTTGGGGGCCGCACACCCCGGCCGGCGGTTCCGCAGAGCTCTGTGTGAACCAGTGCAAAGGGCCAGAAAGAACTTACAAACCGAGTCCTAGACATAACGAAACTGAAACTTGGGCGTCCACATCCGTTCACTCTGCAGTAATGTTTTCACAAGAGAAAATCCCAGAAGTGTGCGAGATGGATGGATGCCCCGCCAAGCTCTCTGCTTGGAGTTTCCTCATACACTCCCACTTACTCTCACCTGGCTGAGGAACTGGGGCTAGAGGGGGAGAGAGATGCGGGCTGCACATCTCCCAGACTGTCCTTCGCATCGCCCCGGGGGAGTTATTCTGAGGATTCCCCCAAAACCCAACACACACACACACACACACACACACACACACACACACACAGGATTGCCCAGGGTGCAAAATCTGAAGATTGAAAGTAGTTTATTGGGCAGATTTCTGTACCAAGAATAGGGGCCAATCTGGGCAGGCCTGGGTGGGATTGAAGGGACTCACCGGAGGCTGAGGATGGCTGGGTGAGTGAGAGGCAAGGTGTCTGGGAATGAGGGAAAAGGTGGGGATCCACCCCACAAGCCCGGCATGTGCCGGGGACCCTGCAGTCCGCAGGCTGACCCTCTATCCACTGAGCCAAACCAGCTAGGGCAACATTTTTTTTTTAATGTATTTTATTGGTTTTTTTACAGAGAGGAAGGGAGAGAGATAGAGAGTTAGAAACATCGATGAGAGAGAGTCATCGATCAGCTAATGCGTGCACGCCCTCCACTGGGGATGTGCCCGCAACCAAGGTACATGCCTTTGACCGGAATCGAACCCAGGACCCTTCAGTCCGCAGGCTGACGCTCTATCCACTGAGCCAAATTGGTTTCAGCTAGGGCAACATTTTTTTAAAAGAGGGAATTGAGGCACCTTCCTGAGGGAGTGAAAGTCGGCGTGTGGAGACCTTTATGGAGGGAGGGAGTGGAGGAACCAGAAGTTTCTGAAAAGGACAGTGAGGGGAATCTGAGGGAGATGTGAGGGATTGCTTGAGAATGCTGGGAGAGGAAACTGTCGTGGTGGGAGGGGTGGTGGTGGGCTGTGGTGAATGATTATGTCTGTGGATTGCTCTAGGAAGGACCCAAGGCAGGGAGGGTTGGACCATGGGAGTGGGGAGGAAGAGGTTCAGATCAGGGAGCACTAGGGCCTATCAGCCCCCCAAACTGGAGTGGGGGAAGTCTATGAGTCAACTGAGTGTCCCTCAAGCCTAGAACCTAGGTTTAATCTTTTAATCGTCCTCATTAATCACTCACGCTCCTCCTACCCCCTCCGGGGATCCGAAGATCCGGTTTCTCCCCAGCTCAGGTTCCAGAGGCATCGCTGGGAAAAGTCCCCTCCTATGGCCCCACAATAGGCTGGACAAGTCGCTGGCTGCTGCGGAGACCTTAGTTGGGCTCTGCTGTCAGCAGCCTCCTCCCATTACTAGTCTCTCCTTCCCTCTCCTCCCCCAGACGCACATCTGGGGATTGCCTAACCCTGTCATCCAGCCCCATTACCTGAGTGCAGTTGCATAGCAGGGAAGGCAGGCAGGAGAGAGCCCCCAGAGAGCCCCACACTCCCCACAGACACACACTGGCTATGGAGAGCAAAAGGCGACAAATGCAACACAGATGATGCATGAGTGAGAGCTGTAGTGTCTGGTGACTGGCCTGGTACAGGAGCTAGCCAGTTCCTGCATCCCCCTGGGATCCTCTTTAATTTCAGATTAAGTGAAACCACCAGGATGGCTCCGAGGGCTAAGGCCTCCAGCTAGGAGGATCTCTCCTGACCCTCCTCTGCCCCCCACCATTAATAACCCATTAACAGGGTCTCAGCTTTCTGCTGTGGCCTGCCCATGCTCTCTGACCCACTGGGCTGTGTTGCTCTGGCTGCCACTAGAGCACCGTGTGAGTATCTGTGGGTATTGGGGGGTGGGGGGAGGGTGCTCATTGAAGGGAGTCTTTACCAAGAAGACTCTGTGTTTCTCTACTTCTGTCGGATGGGATGGACGAGGTCAGTATGGCACCGTGAGGTTCCTTAACTCCATGATCAGAGTGTCTTTCTGTCTTTGAAAGGAGTCTTTGGCCCACATGCCTCAGATCTCCCAAGCTCTGATTGGGGCACCCCAACTACCGGCTCCACTTGCCCCAGGGAATAATAGACAGGTGGACCCAAAAGATCACTGCACAGAGATGGTGGGAGGTGCAGAGGTTTACAGAGAAGGTGACAGAATGGACAGTCCAGGAGGGACGACCCACTTCTTCATGGCACTGTTAGAAAAAAAAAAACCCAAAACTAGTAGAAACCCATAGGGGAGAGTTCCTCAGGTGTGGGGCTTCTGACACAGGACCATTGGGGTGTGATATTCGAACAAAAGCCTTGCCTTGCTGGGCTCCTCTGGTGGAGCAGCTGTCCCGGAAGTGCCTTATTCCTACACAGGAGGGCAGTGGAGGTGCTCACCCTGGTGTGAGCACAGGGTTCGGTGAGCTGTGGGAGGGAAGAGAAGAGTGAGTGACACCTGGATGCAGATAAAATAGGAATTACTATTCCTATCCTCAGCGTTTGTCCCTGGCTTGGCAGGGGTTTCTGTCCCAGAATCTGGTTGGATATATCCAGTCACTCCTCTCTAGGGACCCCTTTCACCACTGCTCCCAGGCTGGGGAACTCCAGCTAGGATGACAGGAGTTAAACGAGGAGACAAAGACATCAACTGATGTGGAGGCCAGTCTTTCCTGGCAAAGAACCCTCCTGAGCAATAATAACCCTAGCTCTGGGTTTGCTGTGTCTTCTTTCCTGAGGCCAGGTCTCTGCGCTTCTCCATGTTTTGTTTTTTTTCTCAATTGATTTCAGAGAGCAAGGGAGAGGGAAAGAGAGAGAGAAGCATCAGTGATGAGAGAGAATTCATTGATCGGCTGCCTCCTGCCCACAATCCGGGCATGTTCCCTTGACCAGAATGGAACGTGCAGGCCAAGGCTCTATCCACTGAGCAAACAGGCTAGGGTTTCCCTGTGTTTTGACTTCGTCAGAGCCTCTGAGCCCCGCTCGCTCGGACAGCCCCGGGTCCAGCCGCAGAGCAGAGCCGGCTGGAGTCCACTCACCTGGGCGGGCTTGCACATCGCATTCCCACCGTCCCCAGTTGCAGGCGCTCTGCCGGGCCGGGTCTTCCAAGGCTGGAGTCCCCCCAGGCCCAGTGCCACGCTAATGACTTCCAGCCGTCGGGACCTACTTTTAAGAGCTCTCAGCAGGAGTGGGGCGGGGAGGAGGGGGCCAGGTCTGGAGACGGAGGTCCTTCCTAGGTGGGATGGGGATCTTAGCACAGTCAACTCCGAGCTCTTCTTTGGCATTTTGCAAATCTCCCGGCGCTGCGACCAGGGAAAGCAATTTTATTGCCTACGAGAGAGTTTATGAGCCGGAGCGGCGGCTGGGCGGGAGGGGGCCGCCCAGGAAGGATCCAGCCAGAGTGAGCACAGCGCGGAGCAGCCGGGGGGGCCAGGTCTGGCGAGCATTCCGCCGGCTTCTTTGCGCCCCCATAGCCTGGAGAAGAAACTCCGCTGCCCAGATGGCTACGAGCTCCAAACCGACGGCGGCCCGGGGCTAGGAAGTGGGGGCGCAGGAGGAGGGGCACTCGGGGCTCGCAGCTCGGGCCCCGCGTGGGGGGCGGGTCCGAGACGGGGCCCAGATCTGGAGCCGCGCGCTGGGGCCCAGGCAGCTTTGGAGCCGAGCGCCGCGGGCGGCAGGACCGCCGCAGCCCGGCCGGCCGGCCATGAGCTCGGGACCCGAGCCCCGGGCAGCCCGGACACCCTTCAGCATCGCGGACATCCTCGGCCCCAGCGTGGTCCCTCGAGGAGCCTCTTCGTCGCTGCAGCTCCCAGAGCCGAGCCCAGGCCCCACGTCGCCGCTGTGCGCGCTGGAGGAGCTGGCGAGCAACGCTTTCCGCGGACGGGACGGGCTCGCTCAGCGGCCCCCTGAAGGTACAGGCAGGGGCGCGCAGGGCGACTTGGCCTTCTCCCCATCTCTCGCCTCCTCTGTGCATCCTGGCCGCCACCCCAGTCTGCCCCCTGCCCTCCGCCCACATGTCGGGTCTTGCAAATTCCCGCTGCTCCCCTCCCCTCGGTTAGTTCCCATGTCCCCGGCTGCAGACGCCCGGGAGGGGAAGGGCCGGGCTGTCTAGAACTGAGTGGGGACCCGTTAGTCCTTTCGCTGTAGGCGGGGCAGTCGCGACAGAAAGGCCGCAGAGAGGAGACAAAAGGCCGGAGCCGGAGGCTGTAAACTGGTGAGCTAGGGCCCGGCAGGCGTGGCAAGTGCTGGGGGTGAGGCTCGGGCTCTCCGGGCCATCCGCTCCGCTCCTAATCCCTCTCCTCCCGAGAGCGCGCACGGGGCTGAAGAAGAGCCTTGGGGCCGCCAGGGCCTCAGGATCCAACTCCGCCTTTCCTTGCCCTCTGCACGCCCACCACTCCCTCCCTTTTCTGCTGGTCTGCTGGGGGGAGAGTGTGTCCTTAACAGAGAGTGCCCGACACGACCCATAAGTCCAAAGAAGGGCCGGGTCGGGGTCCTGTTACACCCCCCAGGCCGGCCAGCTGCCCCTCCTCTGACCACGGGTGGTCCCCCCCCTCCGTTGCGGGCCCCAACCTGCAGCCGCTCGATCGGAGCCTCCGGGAGGCCTCCGAGGCGCGTGCCGCACGTCCTGGCCCTGCAGCTGGCCTCCCCTGGCCCGGCCCGCCCTCCTCCCCTCCTCTGGCCAGACGCCCCCAGCCCGCTGCCTCCCGCAGCCCAGCGGCTGGTTCCCCCTCGTGCCCCATCCCCTCTTCGGCCTGCCCCTCGCGCGTTTGGCTCAGGGACCGCGGTCCAGCTCCCGCACCTCCGCCCCCGCCCTGGAGCTCGGGCAGCTGCGGGGTTTTCCTCCGGGATGGGAGCCCGTGCCCGCAGCCCGGAGCCTGACCCCCACCCCATCTCCGCAGGCCGCGCGGCCCCGGGCGCCCCGGGCCAGGGCTCCGCGGGCCGCAGGCGGCGCAAGTCCCGCACGGCGTTCACGGCGCAGCAGGTGCTGGAGCTGGAGCGGCGCTTCGGGGCCCAGCGGTACCTGGCGCCCGCCGAGCGGGCCGGGCTGGCGGCGCGGCTCGGCCTGGCCAGCGCGCAGGTCGTCACGTGGTTCCAGAACCGGCGCGCCAAGCTCCGGCGGGACGCGGAGGAGATGCGCGCCGACCTGGCCTCCCTGCGCGCGCTGAGCCCCGAGGCCCGGGGCCGCCTCGCGCTGCCCGACCTGGGCCCGGCGCGGCCAGACTCCGGGCCCCACCTGGCGGACGAGGAGATCCGGGTGGACGATTGAAGGCAGAGCCGCCGCCCTCGCTCTTCCAGCCCTCTCGCCTCGGCGCTCCGCACCCTGTTCGGGGTTGCGCATGGAGGGTGGCTGAGGACCTCGGCTTCTTCCGGCTCCCAGTGCAGACGCCCACCTTTCCTAGTTGTTGAGAATAAAGTGGAGACTCCATTGCACCCCGCCTCAATCCCGCCCCGAGCAATGGGAGCAAAATCTGCTGGTCATTTCGGGTATCCCTTGCTCGGCATGTGCGGAGCGGTGTTCTTTAACCCTCACAGCAAGCAACCCTACAGGGTAGGTGATATGATTGTGGCCATTGTACAGAGGAAGAGCCCCTTGGCCAGGATTGGTCCCTGGCATCTAGCCAGCCTTCAGAGTCCCGGAGACTCGGGGCTGGGCGGAGGAGGACGAGGAACTCCAGTAGCTGTGGGAGGACCTCCCCTACGAGCTGCCTGGGCCGCAGTTCCCCGAGCCTTTGATCCCCCTGAAACCTCTGAGACCTTGCTCCTAACCTCAAGCCGGGCCCCAAATGAGGTCATTTTGTCTTTCTTTTCCCACTTGAGGCCATTTGTGAATGAGACCCGCCCCTTCTCCCCACCCCATCTGAAAGAACCCTAAGCTGAGTCACAAAGTGATGCAAGCTGGGAGAAGGGGGAACACCCCTACTTCCGGGACCTCCACTCCATTGTGGGGCGGGAAATGTTCCCAGTAGGATGGCAGAGGCTGTGGCGACAGGATGGGATGGCGCAGTCCACGAGGTGGAGGTTGGAGTAACTGCCAGCCTACCTCCTGGGGCAGACATTTCTGAGATTAATGTATCCCACTGGTGACTAATCACCCTGGTGCACTGTGGTGGGGAGGGAAGAGGAGCACTCAGTAGCTACAGACCTTTTATGCTCGTTCCTCCCAAATAATCAGCGGAAGACTATGCTTAGGCGTCTTTCCAGTTTCCCCTCTCCCCCCAGAAGGTCCCTCCTCAGATCTTCCATTCATCTGCCCGGGAACCACAGGCTCACTCGCAAGGGTTCAGGAGGCTCAGCTAGGGTCTCAGTTGCAGGGGGAGGTCCCAGGAGAGTGAACAGGAGGGCTGGAAGGCAGAGGGAACCTGGCCTTTTCAGACAATCGCTACCACTGACTGAGCAGTTCTAGGGGCCTTGCATGGATTAATCTTCACAATAACCCCAGGAGATAATGAGGCTTTAATTTCATTTTAAGGATAAGGAAACTGGATGGATCACAGAAGCCCAAGGGAACTTGGTCATGTCATGAGGCTTCTAAGTGGTGGGGCTGGGACTCACCTGTTGTCTGACTCATGCTTATGCTGTTGGCCATGGTAGGTTCTGTCCCTATAAGTGTGACTGGGCCTAACTGAAAGAGGAGATTACAGAGAGAGGAGAGGAGGAGGGCTAAGGGTAGAAATGTAGGCATTGTACTGTAGACGGAACCTGGTCCTTGGGGGTTTTGGAGGAGAGGCATGAGAGCAGTGTTTAGGGTGGACCAGAGACTGAGGAAGTAGTATGTTTCTGGCTACTGCAAAAGGTAAGAGCAGAGAGAATTCAGGGCCAGACTTGGAGCAGGGAAAGAGGGAGGCTGTCAGCAAAGATGAATCAGTGTTATTCCCCCAGTGATGAAAAATTGCATGAGTCAGTGACAACCTTGCAAACCTGGGCAACTGGAAAATGGCATCATGGACATAAACAGACAATGATAACTAGGATAGAGCTACCAATCTGTCAGCCATGATATACATATTCTTTGTAACTGTGTTGTCCCTTCAACTACACATACACACACATACCTCCCCTGGTTCATGTCGAAGACCCCCTGCATATTTCCTTTCTCCCCTTCTAACGGCCTCTCTGGAACCTTTAGAGTAGAGTGACCAACTTATTCCTGTGTATCCAGGACTTCCTTCCCAGCTTTAGCACGGAAAGTCCCACCCCTAGGGAATCCCTCAGTCCCAGGAAAATCAGGATGGGTTAGCACTCTGCTTTCCAGCCCTGGGGGCTCAGAACTCAGGCTGCTTTGTCACAACCCTACTGGTTAGCAGTGTGAGTATGGGGACAAAAATGTCAGCAGTCCTGGAGAAGATTCAAGTCTAGGACAAGAGGGAGTATGTCTTTGAGGCTGGAAGAGCAAGGAGCCAGCTCCGCCTGAAAGCGAAGATACCACATAGCCGTGGTAATCAGCTGTTCTTAGAGACAGCAGGAGCCTCGGTGGGGTCCCCAAAACAGAGTTCCCCTCAAAACAAGGTCAGGTGGGCAGGGCTCTGGTGGAGTCATCCCTAAAAACAATAAGCTCCTCTCCCCAGCATCACGCCCCAACCAGGCAGAAGCAAAGAACTTCCAGGGCAAATAAATCTACTTAGGAAGGCAGGGGCCAGTCAAGTTAGTTGGTTCTGAGCCATACACCTTCTCCACTTGAGGTTTCCTAAATTCTAGCCCAGCGCTGCCATCTCTTATCATCAAGGCTTGAACAAACAAAACTCAAGCCTGTCCTTTCAAAATGGCCTCTGGATGGGAACAGCAGGATCACCCGGAGGACTACTGAAACACAATCGCTGGGCTCCTGCCCTGCAGATTCTGATTTAGGTCTCCTGTGGGGCCTGAGAACTTGCATTTGTAACAAGTTCCCAGGTGACACTGATGCTGCTGGTCCAGGGACCACACTTTGAGAACCACCGTACCAGGAACTCTGTATTTTGTGAAATAAGCAGCAATTCCCTTTCTTTTCACCAAGGGAGTCATGAATGTGTAGGACAGTTGCAGATAAAAATTGGTTTATTTAACAGTCACTATGTACCAGGCACTTTGTAGGTATTTTCTCACTTTCTCTTTCAGTCCTCGCAACAGCTCGGTGAGGTAGGAATTGCACCCATTTTACAGATGAGGGAACTGAGGCACATATGTTGAGTGACCTGTCCAAGGTGACCCAACTAGTAATGGCTATACAGTTTTATCCAACTGTACAGTTTCAGCACCTCCTATCTCTATGTATGAATGGTATTGAGCAAGACCCATAAAAGGCAGCAGGAATCACTTATCCTGATGAGTGGTTCCTCTTGGGAGGGCATTCTGAGAGGCCTAAAAATCCCCTGAAGATCTGCATTTAAATGAGCTGAGAGTCCCAGGCAATGCTAGGTAGCAACCAGCCAAGGGCAGCTGCCAGAATCGGAGAAACCAAAAAGAACTCATGATTCTTACATAGGAAGGAGACTTATATCCATCTCTTGGAGCAGCGTCCCTTGGCGGGAAGACTGAGTAAATGCACAGAGGTGAAGACTAGTTACAATGCCCAGTGCTGAGAAAGACTAGTTACAATGCCCAGTGCTGAGAAAGACTAGTTACAATGCCCAGTGCTGAGAAAGAACAGGGCCAAGGCAGCCTGGGTGCCTGCCGAGGCCCACCAGCAGGAGAACCAGCAGGGGGAAGTGTGGAGATGGATGGGCTCTGCCAGCTCCAGGCAGGATCTGGGTAAGGGGATTCCCAAATGCAGACCCTTGGCGAATCTTCTAGCAGTCAGAGAAGTGAGCATCAGACCACCTGGCAAAGGATAGGTCACATGTGCACAAAAATATGGACAGGAAACAAGTCATGAGGAGCTGGGGCTGGAGAAAACGGGGCAAGCACTGGGATTAAGATGAGGTGAGCACCCACAGGGGAAGAGTGGGACTCAGCCTTACTCATCACTATGACTCCGTTCCCAGGCACAGCTCTGGCTAGTGAGTGAGCGCCCCGGGGCCAGGAGCAGAGCAAGCCTCAGTGCCCTGTAGAGTCCTAACGCCTGAACTTTTGTACTTGTAAGGTTCCCTTCTTGAGCCTTGGGGGATTTTGTTTTTCCTTATTGCCCAGAACAGTGGTCGGCAAACTCATTAGTCAACAGAGCAGTAAACCGGCTCGCGAGCCACAGTTTGCCGACCACTGGCCCAGAAGAAGCCATCTGCTTGAGAACAAAAGAAAGGCCGTTTTAACGGGCATGGGCCTCTTGCTCTCATCAGAAGGTCTCTGTGGCAAGAGGAATGACCATCAGGGGTGTCTCTATCTATGGTTTTGAAGTACAAGGTCTCAAAATATTCAGGGAACAGCCACCGCATAGTGTCCCTCATCCTTGTGGGATATACACATGGCCTTGTCCAATGAGGGACAGGACTTCCCTCATCTGGCCTGAGGTAGATGCGGGGGCCCAAGTCCCAGGGCGCCCCAGCCCTTTGAGGGGTTCTGGAGATGGAGAGGAGGTCTTCCACCCAGAGTCTGGGGGTGGGGCCGGCTGGAGAGGCTCGGGTGATGAGGTGGACGATGCCGGGGTGTAGACGGAAGGCCAGGGGCCCTCGGAGCAGCGCCTGGAGGGTGACTGAGGGAGAGAAGGCCCGCGGCCACGGGCTCAGGGTGGGGAAATGGCTGGGGGAACCCAGCTGGCGCAGGCGGTGCAGGGTATCCTCCTCGCTGGTCCTGCTGAGAAGGGAAAGGGAGGGCCACCTGACGTACTCCTTTCTAGCAGCGCAGCTCCTGCCCCTCATCCCACTCATTCTGCCCCGCCCCCTGCCCCACTGAGGCAGAAGGCGTTGCAATCACAGCCAATCCTCCCTGCTGCCCCTCAGCAAGAGCACGCCTGGTTCCCTTACCGTGGCGAGCTGCAGAAGACAAGCGTGGAGCTCCCGAGCGGCATCGGGCTGGGCCCCACCTCTCAGAGTCTCCTGGAACACAGCAGCGGCCTCCTCGAAACGCTTTGGCCCCAGATTAGAAAGAGGCAAGTTTAGGTACTGGGGGAAGGGGAGTGGTCAAGGAACTTAAAAGTGCCCTCTTTCCCAAGCTGGCCCCCAGCTCCTGATATCACTGACACTGTGACATTGCGGTACCTGGAGCTTACCTAGAAAATGTCGATATAAAACCAATACCCACCATCCCACCCAAATTCCTCCTCTGCCTCCAATGTTGGACCCAGTACCTGCAGTCCCATCAAGGCCTTGCCCAGGCGGAAGAGGCCCCGGGGCCAGCCAGGCCGCAGGGTAAGGGCCACCTGAGCATCGGCCAGGGCCCACGCCGGCTGACCCAGCCTCTCGTGGCAGAAAGAGCGATTTCCAAATAACCTGATGAAGACAAAGTGGCTGCAAGTCCGGTCCTCAACTCCTTGCCTTGCCCTGACCTCCCAGCACAACGGCCAAGCCGCCGCCTACC